GTGATTTCCAGGTCAATTAAATTTTCACTCCAAGACCTCGTATTACCATCGATTTAGCAAAGAAGCGCATACAACACTTTTTTTGCCTTTATCCCGTTCAAATGCGTGTTTATTGATTACCAGAGTGTTCTAAATTGTCGTAAAATTGTCCTGACCCTTTCGATTCTCATATCAGAGCCTTCGATATTTGTATATTGATCCAAATATGAGAGCTCGACGCCATTTTGGTTCTGGTCTGGACTGAGTTAAAAAATTTTGTTGAAAAATCCAAATTTTGAATGTGTCAGGACAATTCTTAGATGATCAGGAGTGATGTGTCAAAGTTTTGGACAGTTTGGTCTAATACCCTTAAAAAAAAGTGTTGTATTCGAATCGACTGATTTAAAGAATGTTTCACTTCACCTTAATAGGAAGATCGACGGTATTTGCGGAGGAGTTCTGGAAATATTCGCGTTTCGTTTTAATACGTTACAAAAAAAAAAAGAAGAGAAATCAGCAACTCATATGTGAAGAAATTAAACTTTTATTGAATTACTAGTCAGTCCGACGGAATTCGCGTCGCCTCGAACAAATTTGAAAAAAGTATTCAGTAACTGATATGTAAAGAAATTGAGTTCTTCTCAATTTAATGGTTAGATAAATGCAATTCGCGGAAGAGCCGGAGGAGCCACTCGCGCTTCGTTTTAATGAATAAAAAAAAAATAGACGTCAGAAAATGGCATATAAATAAATTAACCTTTTCTCAATTTCATTGGTAGATCGATGAAATTTGTATCGAAACTCGGAGAAGAAATATTCGGGCCCCTTCCAAATATGCTAAAGAAAAAGAAAAAAAGGAACTGCTATATAGGTGAAGAAATTGACTTTTCCTTGAATTAGTGGTCAAATCGATGGAGTTCATATTCTCATGGATTTATTCCTCATTCTAACGGATTGAAAAGAAAAAAATGGCAAACGGTATGCGAAGAAGTTGACCTTTTTCTCAATTTTCTGGTCAGATCGATGGAATTCGCAGAGGAGTCCCGAGAACGAGCACTCGTGTCTCCCTCCGATAGACTCGGCTCGGTTTCTTTATGCGACGAGGTCGGAGAGCGCGCGGAAATGTCGAGGGTGCTGGGAGGGTGGTAAAAAACGGGAACGAAGGCCGCATTAGGAAGAAAGGCCGTAGGTTAAAAGCAGAGGCCCAAGACGCATAATGAAAGCCTATTGGCCAAATAATAACGACCGGGGAGGGAGTCTGGATGAGATCGGCATTCCGCGTAAGGTTTCACCTGGCGCATACTTAGTGTTCACGTTTACGCCATTGCGGCGTTAAGGGCTCTCGCGAATATAACGAGGCGGCACATTGAGGCAAAAGGGAGGGAAAAAGAGGTAAGGTCTGCCAAGGGAGGTCCCGCGAGCTCGCCGTTACTTTTTACAGGCGCAAGCGTCTTACGGCTCTTTTCTTTTTCGAAGGCCAAAGAAGATAATGGTGACATACTGCTGCAATTATTATTCTCGGCTCTTGGCAATCCGTCGACGTGTTACTTCCTTGGGTAATGATTTTGTTTCACTCTAAACTTGTTTTACATTTTGCGACGATACGTGCCGTTAGACGGTTGATCGTTAATCGATTTAATAAGAAGTGCCATTTATGTGAAATGGTTTTGAAGGGAAATGGAAAATCAAAAAAGATAATGTCACGATATTCTGTTAATATTGGCATTGTTATTTTTTGACAAAGCCTTAGGGTGTTACATCATTATTTATTGTCGATTGCGACAAAGAAGGTGGAACGTTCAATGTCTTTTATCCAAACTTAATTAGATTTAATGTCCTCGAAATAAATCCAAGTTAATCATTCGCGTGCAACTTCGTCGAAGGGAATTTCCACTTCAGTTGAATAAATCAATTTTTCTCCGAAACTTATGTTTTGTTAATATAACTCATGAAAAATCGCGCCAATAATAAGTGCTAATTATATTTAAGTATGTACAATTACGTGTAATCAATGCCGAGGAAGAAGGTAAAACCTAAGAGATTTTGATTCGTTTTTAATTGACTTCTGTTCCATCGATGTACAATTATTAGATTATCAGTATTTAAGGTAGGCTCATTTCCAATTAAATGAATTCTACGATATTTGATGTATCGTAAGTGTATTTTTTTTTATCGCGGAGAGAATGTTATTCGTAGAAAGATCACTTATATTAAGGTGCAGTGAAACCCCCTTGAAATCAGTCGATTCGAATACAACACTTTTTTTTAAGGGTATTAGATCAAACTGTCCGAAACTTTGACACATCACTCCTGATCATCTAAGAATTGTCCTGACACATTAAAAATTTGGGTTTTTGGAACAAATTTTTTTACTTAGCCCAGACCAGAATCAAAATGGCGTCAGGCTCTCATATTTCGATCGATATACAATTATCGAAGGCTCTGATATGAGAAACGAAAGGGTCAGGACAATTTTACGACAATTTAGAACACTCTGGTAACCGATAAACTCGCATTTGAACGGGATAAAGGCAAAAAAAGTGTTGCATGCGCTTCTATGCCAAAAGGATGGTAATACGAGGTTTCGGAGTGAAAATTTAATTGACCTGGAAATCACAGATGGCGCAGGGGGTACCACTGCAGTCAATTAGGGCCTCAGAAAGCATGAATCCAGAGGATTTCTGGAGTTTTACTTCGATTTCTTTATAATTATTATACGAAAACGACAGGTGGAGTATGCCATTTGGGACGTTACCCAATATAATTCGATACAGCTGTTAATGTAAATACGAACGTTGGCAACGTAGGCATTTAGAAAAATCTTCTTTATCGACGTTGATCAAGTTCCTCGACGTGTTTCACTTCACCTTAAGGTAGGCTCATTTCCAATTAAATGAATTCTACGATATTTGATGTATCGTAAGTGTATTTTTTATATCGCGGAGAGAATGTTATAAGTAGAGAGATCACTTATATTAAGATGGAGAACCATCAAGCACGATCGGCAGCTAGCACTTACTATTAACGTCCCATCGTTGAAGTGTCTCCGCTTTATCTAAGACTACCATGCAATTAATGAAAATCGATCCCGACTTGTTTACCAGAAGCCCTCCAAAGCGAATTCCAATCGCGCGCTCTCCATTCGCTACTTGGGCTGGACACAAGTCCTAAGCAAACTTGGTTCTTCGTGATCCTTCCTGCCGAAAGTGCAACTCGGGTTTCGTCGGATTCTCAGCAGTTAATCACATCTGCGCGCGATCTTCCTGTTATTATTTTTTTTAATTATTACGTTGCACGTATGCTTGGAGCAACAAGCAGTCCGAACCTCGCTATATAATATAGTTATTTACAGAGATGTTACATACAGGGTAGAATTCGAAATAGTCCTTCACGTGGAATGTTGCGTTTTATCGCTTTACGGAATTCTGCAATGCATGATATGGTTTAATGGTTCTAAAGTGCATAAAATTCAGTGATAACTAAGCCGAGACGTCTCACAAATCGCTCATCTGCGGAGATGTGTTTCGGATTGAATAAATCAATGCAAAAGTAGCACGACGCGCGAAATGATGCTGCTGTGTGACTTTCTAAAACATATTTTGCATAAAGAAACTATTTCTTGGAGATCTGACAGTTAAAGATACGTGTACCTACACGACATTCACAAGAAATTTCTGATCCAACATACAAGAAACTTACCTAAAGCCTGGGTACAAGGAACCACTTTGAAAAACAAAGGAAACAGGGGAAGAAATTGCGAGACCAAAGTTTAATTTATCGGAAACTTCAGAATTACATTAAATAACAATTGCCGTACCTTAATTGGTGTTTATTCCTTTTTTACATTTTATAAGTGCATAGGGCCTACAAACACCAAAATCCTGCTCCACTTAAACGGCCGATTTCCTTAAATGTGAATTTCGTGTCTTGAAGAAATTCTCGAAATGGTATGTGTGATTAAAAAAGAATGTCTTTCCTGAGTTCTGATTTCTGGTTTTTTCTTCATGTGCGGTGCACTCAAAAACAAACATTTAGTTGTAGTTACTAAAAAAATCATGTCAATGGATAATAGTAGATGAAATTATAGTTTACAGCTCCTAAAACTATTTGCGATCTTATGTTAACAAAATAATTTGGCAACAAAAGCCGTAGGGAACGTAACTCATAAATTATACTATCAGTTAGTATGGTTATTTTGCTATAGAGGTTATGTTTCAGCAACTTCTTTACAGTAGTGTCATGAAATGAACTTTTTACTTAATACAACCTAGTTATCTTACTATTGCAGCTTGATTATATCAACTTCCAGTTTGTACCGACCGTTACTTAAGTTCTTATTCAAGTTAGTTTCGACAGGACCGATAGGTGGCAGGGCTTTATCGCAAGTAATGCTGATAGTTTGGTTCTATAAGACTCGTTACCGTTTGATACATTTACGTAGTAATACTCTTTTATTCAATTGTAGTAAATGCCGACACTTCAGCTTTACGCGAAGAAGGTTACTCCAACAGTAACGTCTATTATCCCAAATTTTTGTTATCGTTACTGAAAAACACTGGTAAATATAGAATTGTTGATTTTATTACTTCCAAAAAGTAAAAAAAAATTTAATCACTGTTACTACATTTGTAGTTGAAAAAATAAGTTAACTTTACTAAATTTCTCCCTCAGTGTAACAATTAAATTGAATTATAACGCAATAAAATATTCCATTCTTGCAACTTTGTATTATTTGGTACATTTTGCGATTACTATAACTACATGCTTATTGTTAAAGTTTTAGTTGACAGAAATATTTTCTATCGTTCTAGTGAAAAAAATTTATTTGCAGCAACTAAAGAAAATTCCATTGGTGTCGTATTTCACTGAAGAAAATAGTAGTTTTATAGTAACTACAACCAAACATTTTTTTCTGTGTACGGAAGTTTATTAAAAGTTGCGAAATGTAGCGTTGATAATTCTTTTCGAATGCGCTTTGGTGCCGGAGTAAAATTTTCTTTTAGTTCCTACTCGGGCAGGGACCTCTTCCGGGGCGCGTATAATCGTTTATTCCTTACTTCCTAGTAGATTCCTGTAGAGTACTTCGGATTTATCTCGCTTGACGAGTCACCTTGCGACACGGTCCAGGTGGCTAGCAATGGCGTCGTTCAAAGTGTATCTTCAAGGTGACGGAAGGACTGCGAAGTCCCTACGGAGATATCAATGCTAGCATCTATTTTACAGAGATGGCGGAAACTGACGCCGCCTCTCGTTTCGGAGATTACTCCGTTATTTGCGGTGTTTGCTTCGACGAGAGGTGATCGCTTTTCGGCTCTTTCACGTAATCGACGACCAACTCGAGGTCGATTAGAGCTCGTAGGTCCCTCTTTTCGTCGGCCTGACTGGACGACGAGACCCCCTCCTTCTCGAGCGATTCGTTCGCTGAAAACCGTGAAAAGAATCACGAATAATAGATTATCCTGTCCAGAAAAAAGAATACAGTAGAAAAATCGTGAAACAGTGGAAGAAATCGAAGCCCCTTTGCCTTAATGAATCTTAAAATATATCATCATGTAATGCACCCTGCTCGTAAAGAACATCGCAATAACTAAAAATAAAAATCGTGCAATTCGGAGACTAGCAAATACTGTTTAGAATAACGTAAAGAAATTCAATTTTTGTTTAAAAAATACTTGTAATTACCGAGATATGGTCATAGTCTACTCTAATTATACTAAACAATATACGTGATTATCAAATATGTATAACTTCGAAGGGTAAAGGCACATTGTGCCAGGGCGGATCGCAGCGCATTGCATTGCAAAGATCCGCATAGGAATGATTTGATTGATTCTACATGGACTATCGCAAATTATAGACGGAACATTGCGATGCACTGCGGCCCGCCCCAGCTATAGATGTCCGCGAGCCTTTACAGTTTTTTGGCGAGTGGGGTGTTTTGATTTTTTTTCGTTCCGCAGTTAATATTATATTCATTTTAATCGTCTATCGCGGACAAAGCGTGCAGAATAATCTACTGGAATAGATTTCTGGATCAATTTTATCTTGAATGGGAAATGTTAGAACTATACACATTAATACCGAAACGAACTCGATCTCACCTTCGGAATCACTGCGTCTGTCCTCTTCGTCCTGCTCACCATCGCGGTCCGTCCTGGTCAGTTTCTCGGCATCCCTGATATCCTTGTAAGTCCTCGTAAGATTTTTTAAGATATAATGTGTGCCCTTGGAGTTCTCTTCGCCACCCCTAGAGGTGGTGGCCTCGTCTCTGGTGAGGTTGAGGGGTCGATTGTACTCCTTCGACTGGGGCACGCTGAAAGCGGAGCTATGCTTGCTCTTGAACGGAAGTTGCCTTTCGTTCAGTTTTCGGTCCCAAATGTGGCCCGAGACGTGAAGGTCAATGAAGAAGTGCATTGGATCGATCCCGGAATAAGACTGCGACATGTGGTAGGGAGGATACCAGAGCGGATTCGGCAGGAATTCTGGATTGGGCACGTTGGCCGGAAGTCCGAAGTTCTTCAAGGATCCCGGAGGTATTTCGTCCCCTCGAGCCCCCAAGAAGTTCCTCGATGCAAAGTCCAGCTTTCCTTGCTTCTGATCAGGCAAAAATCCAAGGTCACTGTTGGCCCTGGCCCTTTCCTCGAACTCGGGTCTTTCGGTGCACGAGGACTTCCGTTCTCCAGGAGGCGGCTCCTCGGGCTTCAACTTCCGCGGATCTCCCTGGTAGATTCCGGTTTCTTGGACGGCCTGGTCCAGCCGGAAGTGAGATTGTCTGTCGTCGAAGTAGCTTCTGCTGTGCCTGATGAATTCCGCGCGATTCTCGTCTACAGGCTTCAGCACGTCCACGTCGAGGGCCGGCTTCTGTTCGAAACTCTCCGCATGGACCTTCGCTTCCACCTCCGGTAAGCACTCTCGTTTTCGGTTCTCGTGACCATCTTGTCGGGGCTGAAGCTGGTACTCGTCTCGTTGATGATGGGGTCTCTCCTTGGTCGTGAGTTCCAGGGGACGTTCCCGGACTTCTCGCCAAGAACGTTTGCGACGCCTGGATGGAGTCGAGCCCGTGGGCACCGGCGACGCTTCCGCCTTTGCCTGTACGAACGATCGCAGCATCTCGCTGAAGAAGAAGCTGTGGGGGGTCAGGGGGACGTTGTAGAGGTAGGGTGGAGTTGCTGCCAAAAACCGAGTCACGAGGTCGCCGCTTGACAGGGACGGCGGGCTCTTTAGACTCGACGGATCCCCTGTTGTCGTCGTCATGGCGTTACGTCTGGTTTTGGCGTTTTTGGAAACGATTCTGAAAGGAACAGAATAATTCCCGCAGATGTCAAATATTGGTGTACAAGAAAGAAATGGATCATGTTAATTGCACGGACGCGTTGGATTATTACAATTGCAACGATAACGACGCGTCCGGGAACACATGCTAAACGAGGGCAATTCCGGTCAATTGGCAATTCCGGCACCTACAATATCTATAGAATTACAAGGATTATTCCAGCTCAAAATAAAGGATTGCAAGCACTGAAACGTCCTCTTTCTCCTGCAGACTTGTGTTCTTCCAACCTCCGTTAAATCATTGATTACCTAACCGTAGATTAAAGTTACCGTCTAAGTTATTCTTTGGTTAAAAACGTAACTGTTCCACCATATTTATTTAGAGTGTGATTCGTGAATACATTGTTCGAAGTAAGTTAAATTGTCAGTGAACGCGTTCGCGTGATTGGCTGACACTCTGATCGACTAGAAAGCAAGACAGATCCGCCCTTGTCGTGACACGAAGTCCCACTAGCTTTATGCCAGAAGTTATTTACAGACGCTAGCCTCAAGAAGGAAAGTTCTTTGGGAAAGATTTAAAAAAAAAATAGGTTCAAGCGTACTTCGATATTAAGAAATTGCAAATCAAATCATAAACGCCTTCATATATTTCGTCATAAGAAGACGTTAATACATACTGAATATAACCCATGTTTTCTTCATGTTTATGCTGTTTTTAGGCTGAAGTTCGATCAACTTAAGTTAAACGATCTAACTTGACTGGTTAATCTAAACGGCTGTTAATGGAAATTAACCCGCCGTTAAAATGTGACGGAACGTGCAACTCATTGTAACCGAGGTTGGTGGGATCGGGCAAAGGAGTAGTAGTTTGTTTATTTGATTAAAAAAATAAACCTGTCATTGATATTTTTTATTTTATTGCCTTGAAGGTTTAAGTGGCCAGCATTATCCTCATTTTCTCTAGGGAATAGTGTATATATGGATTTGTAGTGATTAATGCAAAATACTAAATTTGTTCTTGCAAAAATTACTCAGTAACAAATTCAATAACAACAACAACCCGTGCCCCACTCGTGGCCTACTCAGTTAAGGAGGCCACGAGTGGGACGACAATACTGTTTTACCGATAACGATGCCGATTCAGCGAATAATTATTTCAAAGTACATTGAAGATGGTTCACCTATTACTTTCTAGTACCCATCATATACTCAATTACGGAACAGCTATATGGCTGTTACAAATTTCTTTATAACATTTAATGTGAAATACTACATGTTATACGTACGAAAATTCATATTACGATTTCGTACTCACAAGGAAACGTTCCCAAGTGTCCGCCCCCGATCTTATTGATTTTCATACATGTTAAACAATATAAAAATCTATGAGACCCGTGTTTTTTTATATCTGCAATGGTCCGCATTTAAGGGGTGAAACAACCCCCCAAAGTTTGGCAAAAATTCGATTTGTATAATAATTTTCGTAGAAGCAATGGAGGGATTTCGACGAAACTTGGTATAAACGTATTCTGTATAAGGACGGTGAAAACAATATTGTCCAGCAATGCTACAACCCCCCAAGGGGGTGAACTACCCTTCAGGCGACATTTTTTTGTAATATCTATTAAACAAGCACTCCTACTTAAGTTCCACTTACGCCATATGATTGCTCACAAAAAATGAAGAAATACGTATTTTTTGCTTTTTGCCAATAAACATTTACACATCGGTTGTAAACAATGAATGTAGGTGGTATACGGGTATATTTCACCTAGCTACATTGAGTTATATCGTGACCAATTCATTCTACATAAATCTTGTGAACGTATTAATTCCTCAAAATGTCGTTGATTTTCATAACATGCAATTATTTATAAATAAATTTAAAATAAAGTTTAAGCGACTAAAATAGTTTCGCAACAGATCCGATGACGCAGTCATCACCCGTTTCCAACTAGTAATACAATCTCCTTGGTGAAACGGTAAAATTGGATTTTTACTGTTTTTACAAAAATAGAATTAGCGATAATCGTTCACCCCCTTGGGGGGGTGTAGCATTGTTGGATAATATTGTGTTTTCACCGTCCTTATACGGAATACGTTTATACCAAGTTTCGTCGAAATCCCCCCACTGCTTCTACGAAAATTATTATAAAAATTGAATTATCACCAAACTTTAGGGGGTTGTTTCGCTCCTTAAATGTGGACCATTGCAGATATAAAAAAACACGTGTCTCTTAGATTTTTGTGTTTTTCAACATATATGAAAATCAATAAGATCGGGGGCGGACACTTGGGAACGTTTCCTTGTCAGTTATAAAACGTTATGTTATATTCGTACTCAGTTATATAAGAGTATATCTAATGATGTAACATACACTTCATACAAGGGTACCACGGTATTTTTTTAGAAATATAACCGTTACCTATATAACTGCTACGAACTTATGCGCAGATCTTGAATTAGAGTTTGGTCTAGTTTCTGGCGAGTTACTAGTCTCCCCAAATTCTTTTTTGGAACAGTTAGTTAGTCAAATCGAGCAGCTACTAAATAGGCCTGTAATGCTCGAACTGCCTAGACAGGTAATAAGCAAAGTGTGTGGTAACTGGGTACAAACTACATTGGGATTAGACAGAAAGTATATAAAAAGGTAGGTGTAATTTATTACGATCCCGATTACGATTACGTTCCCTACCCCTGAAAAACTCAAATCAACGATTTTTCCCAAATGTAGTAGAACATTCATTCCATTAAAGTCTCAGCTAGATTTTTTTTGTCAAATGTCAGTACATTTGGTTTCACGTATTTTGTATGTACAAGATTTTCTGCTTTCTCAAACCGAAGACAAATATTAAAAACTATATCGAAACAAATAAAAAAATTAGGAACTAAATTTGAAAACAATATTTTATTTGGCGAGCACCCGAGGTGTACTCCTAGCATATGATCATTTTGGTGCTCGCCAAAAAAAGTATTGTTTTCAAATTTAGTTCCTAATTTTTGTTATTTGTTTCGATATAGTTTTTAATATTTGCCTTTGGTTTGAGGAAGCAGAAAATTTTGTACATACAAAATACGTGAAACCAAATGTACTGTGACGTTTGACAAAAAGATTTTAGCTGAGACTTTAATGGAATGAATGTCCTACTATATTTGGCAAAAATAGTTGATTTGTGCTTTTCAGGGGTAGGGAGCAGTTTGAGCTATTTTTGCAATTAATTGAATAAAGATAAATGCACTAGGCTAATTTTTCTACTAGGCTAAATTTTTGTACACCGAAAGTGTTTTGAGGGGATTTAATCGACGCATTGCATCGTATCGCTCTTCCAACTTATCGCGCTGTTTACCTTCCGAGTCTCGGATGTGGGCCCCGGGAGAAACTCCACCGATTTACGCTGGTCGTTCAACGTGTTAAGTCTTGAAGGCAATAAAACAGAAAATATCAATGACAACTTTATTTTTTATCAAATAACATACTTTAACTATTATCCTTTATAATTCAAAATAAAACAATTATTTTGATAAATTCGTTACGGTGGATTTGGGTAATTGAGAAAAAGAAGGGTTTAACCGATGTTGGCGGTAAATGCTGCTGATAATGGCCACGATGAAGACAATACCGGGCAGTGTTAGGTCGGGGATCGTTTGCTCGGGAGCGGCGATAACGGTTGCCCGAGGATATCGATCGGACCGGGCCTTGTGGGTTTGTTTTTGGGACTCGCTTCCAGATAGTTGAAACCAGCCAAAGACCTCGTCGAGTAAAGTAATAAAGATACTTTATTTTCGGTGCCTCTTGGTTTACAGGAATGACTCGTAGACTAGTCGCCTGACGGGGACTGGTGTTCGCCTAGAGTTACATGTGCCTCGCACGCAGGTTACAGCATGGAGACAGTTTCAAACTTCGATAGTCAGAGAGCGAGCCCTTCGGAGCGGGCCTTTTTATACTAAACCAGGATGTTCCTAGATGCAGAGAAGGATGCTTATTGGTGGGTTTTTAAGATTGAGAAAGGAAATGTCTCATGTGATTGGTTTGGGGACAGGTTGAAGGGGAAACAGGTGGAAAGCGTCTTTTCCAGAGCATCTGAATGTTTGACTTTTTCTAGGGCTGTTATCTAGTTTGGGGTGCGGAAGTACTCGGAGAAACAAAGGGGAGATAAAGAACGAGGGAGTGTGTCTCTAGGAGCGTTTTGGAACACGAGACGCGCTGCTTAGTGTCTCTTTCTTAATATTACTTAAAAATAAAACGTTAGGTAGGGACCTAGCAGCAGCGGAATTTCAAGTAATTTTTCGCACACATCCATCTAGGGTGTCCCACCCTGTACATTCCCGATGGGCCCATAATCCGCACAAGATGTATCAATACCGCACTTTGTTGTTTTCTTGACGAAATATTGATTTTTCAACATCTATAATTACAAAAGGTTGTCGGAGAGGATGTAAATGAAGATACCGACATCACAATTTATCCGAAGAAAATAGTAATGATCACTATGGTTTTAATAGCAACTAGAATTATAAGAAGGGTAACTATTATGATTCTCTTCTCGTAGGGTATTTGCGGGTAATCCCAGTCATGCAATCAGAATTAGATAACTGTACAATAACATATACAGTAATTAAACCATTTTTTGTCATATTTATCTCTTACGTAGCAATTATGTGATATTGCATCAGCATCTTGCAAAACAAATATGCATCTATCACTCAGGAACGCTTCCTGCAGACTGCAAGATCAAGTGTGCAGGAGAAAGAGAACGTGTTAGTGCTTGCACTCCTTTGTTTCGGTTAGAATAATCCTTGTATATCTATAGATACTGTGGTGGCCGGGATTGCCCTCGTTTACTCTACATGTATACTCAATATAAATATATTCGGTTGATAGCACATGTTCACGATAAGTAATTGATTAGCGCTTCGCTTCTCTTCGAGTCGTATGAAAAATGCATTCAGAAATTATTTAGCGATGAATTCAAATATACCG